ACCAAGATCAAGGACTGGGCAAAGGACAAGGGGCAGGCAGTCACGGCAAGAGAAAAAGATCTGACAAGAGAGTCATTCAGAAGTATTCCCATTTCAAACTAGTGCTAAAGCGCCATTCTATAATAAAATGTAATTATATCTGATAAAATGAAAAATTCTAGTGGACTTCATCTTTTAAATATATTTTAATGAAACAAGTTAATAATGTATCTTCCCCATGTATAGAGAAATCTATTTCATAGCTTATGAAAATTGTATCAATAGCTACAGCATTGGTATCAAAGAACAGCTGTCCAAGTATCAGCAGTATAACAAACACTACAATAAAACTCCACACAGTCAAGGACTTGGAAAGCCTAGACTGGATGCCAAGATCCTGGAGTGTTGGCCACCAGGTCCAAACAAAAGTCATTCACAAGAGCATCCAACAATGAGGATCATTGGTGTTTCTTACCTCCAAAGATTACAACTGTCTCTCATGAAATTTTCTGTCTTTATTCAAAGATAGAAAAACAACCAGAAAGAGCCCAAGAAACTAGACAGTGCCACAAAAGGGTCTTGTCCCCCTTACCAGGTCACTATAATTCTTAATATTTGGGGCTTCAACCAGAATCAGTCAATAATCTCTCAATCTTTTAATGATGTTACTTTTCTGCTTTTGAATCTTCACAAACAAAACTCAACATAATTAACGATACACATTTTTAAAGCCAAGCAAATTTGAGATCATCAGGGCAAGGGGAATGAATACAGTAAAGAGACTACCAACAAAAATGAACAGATATGTATTTGTGAGTCCAAGAAGAAAATGCTTTAGAGCCTTTATGAAACATAAAATTAAGGCAAAATACAGAGAGTACCAAATATTCTCACATAATCAGGACAGTGAGGAGAAAATGGAGTAATTACCACAATTAGTCTTCCATGTAGCTGAACACCTGTCATGCTGAAAAGTACAAATAACCACAGCATGTGTTAGCTCAACACCTCCATTTTGCCTCCCAGCTAACTATCTACTTATCTGTATGTGATGCTTAGACTTCTTTGCCACAACAGATACAATCAAGATGGTATATTCAAATGTTACAAGCTTAGAAAATCCAGTGAGTGCTAACACTCATTTTATTTAGTGAAAGTATAAACAGCTTTTTTTTGTTATTCTAAATTTTCAGTTAGGGTTTCATTTGTGATTCTATTCCCCAGTCAAAAATTAGTATGTTCCCCTCTCTCCCATCTTCAGGTTATTTTGCTCTTTTTATTTTAAAATGAAATGCAAATCCACCACTACCATGTGGTCCCACATTTTTGCATTTACAACACATGACTATCTT